TTAATTTTGCTTACACGGTCATTTTTACGATAATAACAATTACAAAATTCCAAATTTAAACGAGGACTTTGAAATTCCTGATAATATTACTTAATTTGTCTGTCTCGGTTAAGAACCTGATTTTACTCTAAGCATGATATTTAGTATAGTAGATAGGTTTGAAGACATGAACACCATAAGTAGGTGATCGCGGAATTTTTATACATAAGGAAAGTTAACGGTGGAAGAGTGGAACTGGTTTGTCTTACAATTTAGCTGTTAGTTTGTCTTATCGTCTATAGTCAGTAAAAATGTGAAATAAACGTTGCATCCTCCGTGTTGTCTTCAATATACAAAATGATGATTTCGATCTTCTGAAAGTAATTTGGAGCTTTTAGATCCCACATCTTTTAGAGTACGTAGTTGTACAATACGTCTAATTTGCTCCTTCAGAAGCAGTTTATATTTCTGTAAGGATTGTGACTGAGTTAGCATTTGTTTCACTGTGTAATGTCTTTCTATTTGTAAGAATATAGTTTGAGAATCCAGTATAGCTAGATACATGCAGAATATATCGAACTTGCCTTGGTTGACATGAATACTAAAAATTCTAGATACTGAAATGTGATTCTGAAACATATTAAGAAAGTGAAATGCAGATATAAGTTGGATTTCCGAATGTTGGAATAAGACCGAGTTATCTGATCTGCACACAAAAAGGCGTTCGATTTGCTTTATATTTTACCTTTTGTTGAAAGTATATGCATCTTCCTAAGGTTCATTCCAAACACAACAGAATTGTAAAGTATCAGAATTCGGGAATTTATAATAATTCCACATCAACACGACAAACATGAACAATTTGTAAATAAATCAAATTATACGGAAACACATTTCACACACCAGATATGATGCCATGTAACAAGGGATTGTCTATCGTATCTAGGCGTCATTAATTATGCTTTATTAACTACTTTCACATTCATCTTGTGCATAAAATCAAATTTATTTTTGAATGTATAAGTAATGTAATGATAAAAATGTCTAAAATTTTGGCTAAAAGAAACCTCTTTCTCTTTTTTAAAAAATCTTTTCTTTTTTATTTATCATTCAAACATATTTGCAGAAAATGTCTTCAGAATTTTAGCAGAGACAGTGATAGTTTCAGGAATACAGTTTATGAGAGAACATAACTGCTGATCTTTTGATTTCGCTAAGTCATCAATATTTTAACATTTCCTGGCGACTTCAAAAGGGGGGGGGGCTAAAGGCTTCTTGTTCACCTCTGACAAAACAACCTCTACTGTGTTCTACATGTGTCTACGAGACCTCTCTTTGAATGTCATGGTCGGTTAAACTCGGTCAGATATTTTTAATCGTAGGGAAAGGGGGGAGGGGTAGGTTCGAACTTTAGTACCTAATTTTTTCTCCAAACACCAAAACTTTACCCATTTTTAGCCTATACTGCGAGGTGTCTGTGGAAATGGGGGGGGGGGGGCTTAACCTATGTGACAAGGTTCAATGTCTTTACTAAGTATATAAGGGAAAAAAGGGGGGCTTAGCTCCCCTAGCCTCCCCCCCCCTGGTTCCGATGCCTATGATAAAGAAAGGAAGTGGCTACGATTTTTATGAAATTTTAATGTCCGATGAGGAATTATATTCCCAAAAAGTAATACAAGAGTTTCCATGGCAATTGAACACTCCATTATTTCAGATTGTTTATTAACATGTTCAGAAACGTAAAAACTATAAGAAATTTGAAAACTTGACTATGTAATTCATATATCAATATGACAATCAATATGACTGTACCTCGATCTATATTGAGAAATTCAATATATTTTATCAATATATTTTAACTTCATGAAAGGATTTTTATTTATACCCCCCCCCCTTCCCACAAAAAAAAACACGAACATCCTGTTTATATGACTTCCCGCTCTCAATTTTCACAGAAATGCATAAAATAAAGGTAAAATAGTATATTTTGTATCGATTAAAATGCAACCAAAAAATTTAATGTGTCTCTGAAATAAAAATTTCATGCTAAATTGACATAAAAATGATACTCAGCTTCAATTAGCCATTTTCAAACTGTTTTCCCGTGGGTATTTATTTCATCTTATTTTATTTTCTTTTATAATAATAACGTTGGTATTCTATAATGGCAGAGATATACAATTATGACTCGCTTATATACAGTACTCTCTAACTGTTAGGAGTAATTTATATTTCACGAGAAAGGGACGCCATACATTTTTCAGTAAAAATACATAACACGGCGTCAGTCGTTTAATTTCTTTAAAATTTCACGTTTTGTGAATAGTGCACAAATTAGAAAATTAAGTATATGGAATACTTTAATGGGAAATAAAGACAAACGAAGTGTAGTTTTTATTTTTTAGAAATTATATTGAAAAATAATAACGCCATTGTGTCCTCTTTGTTACCCCAGCAGTGTTTGTTGTGTGATTTTAAACTTATTTGACAACCTTATGAATTAGGTTTGATAAAAATAAATCCACAAGATACTGATGTACAAGTAACAGTTACTGGCATAATGCGCCGTTGCTTTATTCTTTAGTTTTTTATAGAAAGTTGCACGGAATACCCGATTTCGCGGATTCAATGATACCCTTCACTGCATGAAAAGTCGGGTTTAATTTTACCTTAAATGTGATTTAAATGCTGCGATTATTTAATGTTTAAATGCATATTATAACATATTGTGGGATCGTAAATGTTAGAAAATAATTAGCATTTAATACGAGTTTAATGAAAAATTAAAAGAAAAAATTTAATAAAGTTTGGAAAATTGTAAACTTACCAATACGTACGGATTTTAGTCTGCCGTAAACAATTATTATACCTCTAATATACAAAACGTATAATTATTATTAAACATGGCCATAAAATTAAGTTTTACGGTCACATTAAATTTGTTCGTTTAATAAAATTTAACAAAGATCTTTACCTCATTATTTTTTGTTAAATTCACACTTTACTTTATAATACTTCCAAAAATAAAGTTATATACGGAGAATTGTAAACTTACTAATACGTGCAAATTTTATTCTTTCATAAACTATTATTTAATCTCTTGTATATGTGATGAAAATGTACGGATTAAACCTTCCCATATAATTAAGATTTAAGGTTGTATTTGATGAAATTTAACATTATTATATTATTGCATAATATTTTTATTTTACATTTATTCCATCAATAATTTGTATGGTTTACAATTGTGGGTTTTTTGGCAAGTATTTTACAATCTTACACAAATCCATTTCTCATTCAATTTTATTAGATGTTATCTCAATAGTGTACAAACAATGAGTTCTAACAAAGTACAAAATATTTCAAATTTAAGCCTAAAAGACAGAATTAAAAAATTTACAATCATGATTGTAGCTCAATTATAATGGAGTAAATTTCTACATACCAGTAGTAAGTAATATACTGAAGTAATTATAATAATATAAGAATAGTATTGTATGTAAAATTCCAATCCGCAATAAATTAAAACACAACAGGTAAAAAATGTAGTCATTCTGGACTCCAAAAGACTGCAAAATCTGACTGAAACTGCCCCTATTAAAACTTCTGCATGGGTTGTAAATGGCTTTTCAATTTCCCACAATAAATTATATCATACTTTGCATAAAAAGAATAAAAGTTGCCAATAAAAGTTGTCCATTCTTTTTACATGTACATTTTAATAAGACACACTAAGCCACTAACAGAGAAGCCTCACTCGCCCACAAGTAACAGCAAAAGGATCGGTCAGAGACATCACCTTTCTCTTGCTTGGGTATCAAGATCTGCAACTTACTGCCAGCAAAGCTCTTTTAGACCACCCTTATATTGTTTCCCAAGTATTTCAACAATAGATGTCCATGCACTAATTATCCAAGTTCAACTTGAAAAATACTTAATGTTGACTGTGAAAAATACAAGACCCAAAAAAATCCTTTATATCATTTGGTTATGTCAATTCAAAATAAGGAAAAAGTATCACAATTACACAAACCAATAGCAGCTTAAATTTGTTTACAATACATGTAGCTCATTTCTGTTCCAACTGCTACATGTAGGTTTATTGCTTGATGATTGTAATATAACATATCCTCATTAAATCAACGCTACATTGGAATGCAAAACATTTCAAGTGATATTTTCAACTTTGCTTTAAAATATCAAAAATGAGCTCTGAAACATGCACATAAAAAAGTCCTGTATAAACATATGTAAAAGTATATTTAACAATTTTTTAAGCCTTAATTACAATTTCATAACTCATAATTCATAAACTCTCTTACTTCAAATGGAAGGAAACAAATTAATATTTTACTCTTGCAATTCTCATTTATTTACTCTTGCAATATCAATTGTGATATTTATTAAAATCACAATTCACCCCTTTTTTACTCAGAAATGTCTCTACCTCATTTGCCTATTCTATTTTTTACATCTATGACTCACTAAGCCACTGGCAGAGAAGCCTCACTCGCCCACAAGCAACAGCAAAAGGATCGGTCAGAGACGCCACCTTTCTCTTACTTGGGTATCAAGATCTGCAACTTACTGCCATCAAAGCTCTTTCAGACTACCCTTGATCATGATTGTCTTATTTTTTCCACAATAATGTCCATGCACTTATTATTTAAGTTAGACTTGTACATATATGTGAAATATAAATCAAGATTAAAATGTATGTGATTGCAGACCAATAAATGTTTAAACAATAAAATACATAACAGTTTTAATCTGTAATGAAGCATAAGAAAAAACTTTCACTGTCAAAAATACAACACTAGGTATATTTTTCTTATCTAACATTGAGTTTGTGCAAAACAGTAGCAACTCAGATATTTCATCTCTTAGCCCATCTCTGTTCAACTAATACATCCATAGGTTTGACTCTTTTAGATTCTTTATTTGTCCTAGTTCTTCTTATGCTCTGCCTTTTAGAGTGCTTTGATTTGAGAATGGCACTTTTGGTGTCCTGTTCTTTAAGGACATTCTCACATTCATCAGAACGCAACTTCAGCTTTCTAATTTCATAGATAGTATTATCTTTAGAATCATTTTTTGTACTATGAAGATGTAATCAATATTTAAAACTGCTTTTTCTTGCTTCTTCTTGTCTTCATGCCAAGAAGTTTTCAGCTCTGGAGAAGCACCCCTAGCTCCTAATTTCTACAATAAACATAAAAATAAATACCCATACATATTATATGTGTGCTTCCGGATTTATGCAATTGCATATATTAAATAGTAAACACAAAATCTGAGTTGATTTTAAAATTATCATTTGACCTAGAGGAAACACAGCTCAATTTTGCTTAATTAAATATTTACAGAAGACTACAAAAGATATGCCATTTTTCAAATCTGGGTAATAAAGACAGATAATTATCTATAATTTCAGGCCAGCGAGCTACAGATTTCGAAGCGTGTAAATTTGGGTCTAATGATTTTTTTCATCATCTTTTTTTTGGAGCATTTTACCTGCTTGACCTTGAACATGTTGAGGTGCCCTTTTCTCTGCTCCTCCACACTAATTCTTTCATTTAGCAGCAAGATACTATGGATATGGTAAAAAGCTGTCATAAACAAAATATGAAAAATTAATAACAGGTGTGGCTCTCCATAGAAAGAATATACAAAAAAGGAGAAAAAATATACAAACAGGGTATACTTATGACTAACATGACTACAGCAAGAAGATAACATTTTACGCAATGAAAAAAATTCTCTGTGTCATCTAGTTAAGTGAATTGCATAAAAAAAAATTATAATTATATGTATAGATCAAATTTATAGACGACAAAATATGATATGAAACATACATAATGGTACCGTAGTCCGAGCACATGGAATTTGAAGATTTACAAAGTGTTGGAAAATGCAAAGAATAGCATTTACAGCATTTATCATATTAATACACACATATATATAGTTTCACAGCAGCAAGCTGCACAATTTGTGGAAGTACATGTAAATTGGGGACTGGTGACTTTTTGCCATTTTTTTTTTAGCAATTTACCAATGTATTTACCTGCTTGACCTTGAATATGTTGAGGTGCGCAGCCCTTTTCTTCGTGTTCCTCCACGATATTTTATTTAATGTAGCAGAAAGATACTATGGATAAAAAAAAATATGAAAAATTAAAAGCAGGTATGGCATCTCGTAGAAAAAATATACAAACAGATGTATTTATGATATAAAGCAAGTAGATAACATTCATACAATAATAAAATCCTCAAACTTTGTGATCTAGTACATATTATGATATGTATTATATTAAATTTAGAGACGACAAAACATGATATGAAATGGGTGTACATACTCGGAACACATGGAACTTAAGTGTAAACTTAAATGCAAAGGTAAGCATCTACAGCATTTAACATGCAAGTTATTGGGATAATGAACAAGTGATTTAACATAAAGTAAAATATATTAACAACTTACACTGTAGATAGCAAGTTTTTTAAGTGGACAACAAATGCAAACTTCCAGTAAATGGTGGCAATCTCATACACAATAAGTTGTACAACAAATGATTAGTTTGTACCTCATACTGGGTAGCCAAATATCTGGTCAAGTCACTTTCAGGAAGAGAGCCTCAGCAAGTTCAATGTTGATCATTCCCATAGCTACTTCAAACTTTTCTGGCACAATTTCTGAAAGAAAAGATGTATCTTGCAGGGATTTTTATTCAAACTAGGAATAATTCTCATGAATGTAAAAATTTGAAAAGTTTATAGATGACCGACGAATACCAGACACAGAACAGAAAACTCGCTCGGGTCTTAAAATGGCTCAGGTGAGCTAAAATAAATCAATTCATGTGATTTTATTGATCTTATCAGAAAATTTAAGAAATCTTACCGTTGTGTTAATCTTCATACTGCTTTTGTCATTTCTTGTGAGCATTTGGATTCCTGTAAATAATGCATGCATAATTGTGCATCATAGAATGTGATAGCTATTTTTAATAATTCATGCTTACGTATTTAACGTAAAAAAATTATGCATAGCTCAGAATCCATTGCTATTGTATTTTTAGGATAAGGAAAATAAGAATATAAACCTTGTATTGTCTACTTGGTATATAGCATTTCAAGTTGTTGCAATATTTTTTATACTCTTATGCATAAAGATACAAGTTAATAAAACATTTTATATTATTTGTGATAATAGAAAATTTGAGCGGTATGGTTCTCACCATTTTCACAAGCTGTCTACATAGCCGGCGTTATGGGGAATCATCTCAGGCACAGTCCACACTGCAACTATTTAAATAATCAAAATAAGTGCTCAATATATTCTTGAGTAGGCATTAAGAAATAAATAAATAATTAATTACCCTTTATAATTTATTACATTGTACAACACTCTCTGTAAATGCTGAACAGAGGAACACTTTAGTGACAAAAATTCTGAAACCAATCCCAAAATCCATCTTTAAGTAAGATGGTTAAAAGTGTTAAATAATTATTACAAAATGTAAATAGGGCTTGCCCAAACGTTTTTACTGCCAGGCATTTTATGTGTACAGCCCAGACTAAGGAACAGTAACATTATCAGTAGCAGAGGCAATTATTCATTCAAGGACACATGATAAAATTTTGTACATTGTTCCTACCGCTAAACAGGATCGTAAATGTCTTCATCTTCTGTTAAAACATAAATTCCATCCAAAGTTTATCATGCTTCTCCTTTTCGAGTAACTCTCTTTCGCCCCTTCCTCCCGTACAACATCATTATCAAATTCAACATGGCTGCGTGGAACTCTCCAAAAAATTGAATTTCGGCGCGGTGTGTTGTTTTTAAATAAATTGCTTTTCGAGCCCGACTTCGATCCCAATGTAATTGTACTACAGTGGTAGTCGATAGAGAAAAAACTAAGTTATATTCCACAGTTTTGAAAAATCTACATAAGGTTTAAATAAATAAAAATGAGAAATAAATAAATTAAAATGAATAGGGTGCCTAGATATTTTTTTTTCAAAAATGTTTCAACATAAGTTTACTCTAGGTATAAAGAATTATTTATGACATATTCAAAATACCAAAAATGTACTTAAACTTTAAGTAGCCTATAAGCATATTTACTTTTACATGTCGATATTCTTAAACGGGACGTATAATTATCTCAATTAAACTATATTATTCTCGACGTATTTTGCATTAAATATGATTATACTTATTCGAAAACTGTATTTAATTATATCACAATATATTTCATGTAAAATGTACCGTTATACATAAATTAAATTCAATACAAGAAATTTACTGGAGTAAACGAATTTATTAAATTATATTAAACGCGACTTTTCATGCAGTGCTTATATCGAGTATTATACGCGATTTCAAGGATAATACCCGATTTCGAGTATTCTCTCCGACCTGTTAAATCTGGACTATCAAGATCCTATAATGAAATTAAATGTAAAGATAAGAAGAGGCATTTTGGCAAGCCATGCGCATGCACACAGCTACATATTTTATAAAATCTTTCCAGCAGCAACGGACGTCTAAATATCACAGTGACTTCAGCTATAACATACCACTTTTTAGCTCACCTAAACCGAAGGCTCAATTGAGCTTTCCTGATCACATTTTGTCTGGCGTCGGTCTATCTAGCTGTCTGTCTGTCCGTCTGTTTGTAAACTTTTCACATTTTCGACTTCTTCTCAAGAACCGCTGGGCCAATTTCAATCAAACTTGCCACAAAGTATCCTTGGGTGAAGGGGTTTCCAGTTTGTTCAAACGAAGGTCACGCTCTTATTCAAAGGGAGATAATTGGGAATTAATGAAAATTTGGTGGCATTTTTAAATAAAAAGATTCCTACCTCTTCGTCAGGATGGGGGCGGGGTTGAAGGACGATAGAAACTCCATTTTATACCCTATTATTCTATAAATTCTAAATTTACGTCTTATTCTTAATATCTAATTTCATTCTAAAAGTAAAAACAATTTGTTATGTAAAGACATGTCAATGAATAATCTGACTTGACAAAATGCCCCCCCCCCCCCCCCCCCCGTTTCTAGAATTTAAACGGCAGTCCCCTAAAAACTATAGCAATATCTTGTATATCTTTTTGAGTCCTTTAAAAATTGAATAGAAAACGTTTGTTAAAATTGATCTGCAGCAAGGCGTTACTAGAATTTCAATCAAATATTGACTAGATTTTAAGCCTCGATAGAATTCACGCAATGAAAAAATCTTCTCTTCACAAATAAATCGCATTTACCTCATTAATATAAATTGGGATATGTTGCTGCTAATTTGCTATATATAAATTAATTCTATTTGAATTTCGATTATTCTCTTTATATTTAGAGGTATTGTTTTTATATTTCGCATATCCCCAATATACACATATTTTTGTTTTACAGTTAACCTTTGTGTTACATATACGTGACACAGAAAATTTGTTTGTCAGGTAACTGTTAAACACTTGTCACATGACACCAAATTACCAGAAAGAAGACAGACAAACCGAAAGTTGTAAGAATGGTTAACTGAAATACTTCAACAGAAACTATGAGTATGTATTTTTGACTAGATCATTTTAATAGTGATATATATATGCTGTATTTTTTACACATCTGATGAAGCAGTCCCTTTAATGATTCAAACAAAGTCGGTTGTTTTTTAATTTCCTAACTGTAATTGTCAGTGTAGTACTAAACTTAATTTGTAGTATTAAACTTAACGTCTGTCACACATACCGGCATTGACTTAAAAAATAACAAATTATATACATTGCTTCTTTATTTTAATTATCTTGTTATTTTTCAGATATAACTGCAATGTAGGAAAAGAAATGGCCACTGCTACCAGCCAGGCACAGGAACTCATAACCTGTGACCTTTGTGTCAAACCTGTCCAACAATTTTGTAACAGCTGCCAAATCGGTCTGTATGAAGACTGCATCAACAAACATATCAAGAGCCTCAAGTCCATGAAGCATGACATTGTTCCTTTCACAAAGCGTACAGTACAGCTTGTGTTCCCTCAGTGTACATCTCATTCCCACCAGAGATGTGAGGCCCACTGTCAACAGTGTGATGTCCCAGTCTGCATCAAATGTCTCACTGGTCAACATAAAAGCCATGCTTTCGATGACCTAGATAAAATCATAGCTTTGAAGAGAGAAAAAATTAAACAAGAAACTGGAGAAATTGAGGGCATTATCCTGAAGACCACAACACAAGATTCAGACACTGAAAACAAAATTTCCAAATCCATGATTCATTATACAAATTTACAGAAACAGGCAACTGATCAAAGAAAACAATGGCACCAAGAGGTGGACAACATCTTCAACAAAATGGAATCCCTGATCCAGTCACTCAGAGATCATCATATTACAAATCTAAAATCTTGCCAGTCCAAACTCAGAAGTCAGAATTCCATTATGGGCCAAACTGTTGAAGAAAACAAAGAAATCCTGAAGTCCAACAAAGTGTCTGATGTCAACAACTACCAATCCAAACTGAAAGAATACAGGATCATTCCACAAATACCTGATTTACCATTGCCCTCTCTTCAAACAAACACAGTCCAAGGAAGAGAACTCAGCATAGATTAGGAGAAAACAAGGCTACACTGACACAGACATCACTATCCAGTCTGACAGATAAAGTCTCCTTTTTATCTGTTAATGAATTATTAAAAGAAGCCAAAGTGATTGCAAACATTCCAACAAATGTTAAAAACTTACTTAAAATGGCCTGTGTAGGATCAGATAAAGCTTGGGTTAGTGGTAGAGACAAAATGATAACATGTGTGGACATACATGGAGCTGTACAAGACATTGTCACCAGTACATGTAAGAAATTCCCTGCTGATATTAAAGTGACCAAACAGGGGGAACTGATATACAGTGATTATATCAATAGGACTGTGAACATTGTCAGAAGTGGGAAGACAAAGAAACTTGTCACCACACCAAGGGGCTGGTATCCATCAGGACTATGTTGTACCAGGTCAGGGGACATCGTAGTTGGTATGGTTAATACTGATTTTGGTCATAATAAATTAGTCCGTTATCAGGGACAGAGAGTGGCACAAGAAATAGAAAAAGATGAACATGGTAATCCAATCTATCAAGGAGGTAAATATCCAATGTATGTGGTGGAGAACAACAATGGAGACATAGTGGCCTCTGATATCAATGCTACAGCAGTGGTAGTGGTGGACAGGACAGGAAAAGTCAGATTCCGATACAAAAACAAACCTCCAGGGGAAAAGCAATCATTTGGTTCTGGTCAAATAGTGACAGATTCCTTGGGACACATCATTGTGACTGATGAATTCAATGACTGTTTACACATCCTTGATCAGAATGGACAGTTCCTGAGGTGTGTGGATAATTGTGGACTAGAGGATCCTACTGGACTGAGTGTAGACAGTGAGGGGAGGTTGTGGGTAGGGTTGTATGATTCAAGGGAAGTAAAAGTTATCCATTACATGAAATAAACATCAAACATTTACTCCTAAAGAAATGTTTTAACATGCGTTTATCAAAGATATCAAAATTACAATTTTAAATAATTTTTATCTTTTGTACCAACTGAGGATTTTAAAATTTATAGAAGTATCAAAGTACCTGTACAAGAATTTTTTTTTTTTTATGTTTGTGATAAAATTGAAAGATGTACTTGAATAAAGCAGGGATCAAATACATGTACGCATTGAAGTACCGGTATTTAAGGATGTTAGATCCTGCAATCAAACGACTTCAGAATTTGTTGTAAAGTTTATTTAATCAAAAAGAAACAAGAGGCCAATTGGCGACAGAGCTCATCTGCACAAAAACGAACAAATCAGTTCAGTGTTGAAAAGTGTACAGAGGAGAGGGGAAGGGAGGCTTAAATTCTCTGAGGATGCTTTCAAGTCTGTATAACCAATGGAGAGAGAGAGAGAGAGAGAGAGAGAGAGAGAGAGAGAGAGAGAGAGAGAGAGAGAGAGAGAGAGACAGAGAGCACATTTATAAGGATACTCACTTCCGCCTCAGCCCGGGGTTGAACTCTCGACCTACGGAATCTGTCTCCTAGCAGTACAGAAACAGCGAGTTACACCGCTCGGCTTCCTAGGCAAGTTAAGGTGGAATGCCAAACCAACTTTTTGTTTTTTAGATTTTTCAGTCATCCTTTTTAAACAATGGTTTCAGCATTGAAAGGCCGATATTAGCTCATAATTATTTCATATGATTTTTTTGTATTTTTTCAAAGAAAGTAAAAAAAAATATTTATTTCCAAATAATTTAAGAATCCTTACAAACAAAGATACATTGCAGGTTCCAGTAAATGTTCAACCAAGCCTCTTTCGTTACTTCTCACTAAAATATTGACAGTAGTGAAGGAAAAACTTCAAGAGTACTGTACAACTATATATTCAAGAAGTGGTGTAAATCAGATGTGGATACTTAAAAATTCTAAAGAATTTTTGGACAATTTGAAATCACAAGACTTTAAAAAAATCAACAGCATAAAAACTTACGACTTTTCAACTTTATACACAACAATTCCCCACGACAAATTAAAATCCAGGCTTTTTGATATCATTGACAGCTGCTTCTTCAACAAAAATGGAACTCGTAAGTTTACTTACCTCGTCATTGGTCATTTGAAGAATTATTTTGTTAAAACAGATTCTGATTGCACACATAAGTACTCTGAAGTTGACATCAAGAAGATGCTTGAGTTTCTGCTTGACAATATCTATGTGGTTTTTGGAGACCAGGTATTCCAACAATCTATTGGAATTCCCATGGGAACAAATTGCGCTCCGTTATTAGCAGACTTATTTTTATATTCATATGAAGCAGAATTTATGCAAAATCTTTTGCGTGGAAAGAAGAAAACACTTGCTGTGGCCTTCAACTCGACATTTAGATATATCGACGACGTATTGTCAATTAATAATGATAATTTCCATTCCTACGTCGACACGATTTATCCTGGTGAGCTTGAGATAAAAGATACCACAGAGTCCGACACTTCTGCTTCATACTTGGATATTTTACTTGAAAAAGACATTTATGGTAATCTATCAACCAAGCTATATGATAAACGTGATGACTTTAACTTTTCTATCGTCAACTTCCCTTACTTATGCAGCAATATACCTTAATCACCTGCATACGGAGTATTTATATCTCAGTTGATTCGATACGCAAGAACATGCTCTACGTATGAACAATTTCTTAAACGAGGTAAATTATTGACAAGCAAGTTGATAAAACAAGAATATCAGCAGTCTCGTTTAAAGTCATCATTTCGTAAATTCTATGGTCGATACAATGACCTTGTCAGCAAATACAATTTATTATTGAATAAAATGCTGACTGACGTTTTTCATACCAATTGTTAGTCCATTATTTATACACTGAATTGACCACGGATTTTTTCCGCTATTTCCTGATTATGACAACGAGCACACGGCGGGTGTGACCGGTCGGCAGGGGATGCTCACTCCTCCATGGCACCTGATCCCACCTCTGATGTTTCGGAGGTCCGTGTTTGCTCTGCTCTTATTTTGTATATTTGTTTAATGGACGTTGAGATTGAATACTGTTCGTTATTTCCATATCCTTCTTGTATCAAGCAATTTCATTGGCTATATCATTCAGAGGAACATATAATATTTTGGATAACATAACTTGCCTACGTCAAAATGAGTAACGTCAAAAATGTATTACTCCGCTTGACGTTACTTTTAAATTAATGCTCAATTTGAAGTTTTTTTCCGGAGGAAATATTGACTCATTGTCTACACTAGAATTGAATTATAAGTTTACGCTTTTTTATAAACCGCTTCGCGGTTTATAAAGCGTAAACTGCCCCAAGTTATGTTATATCGGATAACATAAGTTGAAATAAGCTTCATTCCTTAAATAAGTTGTTTTCAAGTTAAAAGTTTGCTGTAAATGAATGCATCATATGAATATCTAATAAAATATGTACAGAAAGGCTGGTAAGACGTTTTAATTTCTTTTTAATAAAAAATTATTTATGAAAATAAAACACATTATTTGTGAATATTTTTTAAACCTATGGATAAAAACACCATAAAACTAGTCACAATTGAATCGAAATTGAGAAATTTTCGAGAAATTATTTTTTTAATATCTGGACCTAACCCGATCAAAATTAAAGTGATCCCAATCAAAATTAACACAAAATGAATAAAATGCTAATTTATTGCCTCTTTATGTATTTTAATGAAGAAATCTATTTTATTGTCAAGTTCAATAATATTTTAACCCTTATTACATCTAATCATGCTAGTGTTCTTGGGAAAATGTTATATTTATTTCCAATAATTGTAAAATAATGGTTGGGATCGGTTAAATTTTGATCGGGATTGGCCAAAATTGAAAAAAAAAAATTCTCTAAAATTTGGCCATTTCGTTTCAATTTCTTTTTTAAATATGATTAATGAACATGATTTCCCCAGTTGTGACTGGTTTTAAGAAGATTTTATCCACAAGTTTAAAAAAATTCACAAATTATGTGTTTTATTTTCATAAATATTTTTTATTTAAAATTTTTTAATATCTTTGCGGCTTCTTTTTACATATTTTATTGGGTATTCATGTGATGCATTCATTTACAGCAAAATTTTTACAACAAAGCATTTAATTTGGATGTAAATGATTTTTTTTCATTTTCTTTGAAAAAATAGAAAAAAAAATTATATAAAATAATTGAGAGCTTATGTCGGTCTTTCAAAGCTGAAACAATTGTTTTAAAAGGTTGACTTAGAGATCTATAAAATAAAAAGTTGGTGTGGCACTTCTCTTTAAAAAATTGCTTTCGATGACGATGGAATTCTCACAACGCTGCCCTAAAATACACGGTCATTGATAATAGAAATGAGATACGAGGGGCGTTCAATAAATAATGTCATTAGGGCTCGAAATGAAACAAAAAAAACGCTTTTCTATGATTTAGTCTTAATGATTTAACTAAAATATTCTCTTTTAATTAAAACACATGTCCGTAACATTTTCATTCAATTTCTAATTGGTTTAAGAACACATTTTTGAGTTTGACCCTTCGTATACTGGAATATGGCCGATCCTATGATTTGCTGTACTAATTTTTTTCTTTCTGATAGATGTTTTTCTAAGTTTGGGAAATGATACAAATCAAAAGTTGAAAGATCCGGCAAATTTTGTTGGTGTGACAAAACATTAACTTATTGTTTACACCCAAAACTCCTTTACTCTTCATGGCCTGTGGGTTTGGATGCCGTCATGAAGACATTTAATATAGTGAATTCCTCATTCTGTTTCATTGCTCTCATAAACCTTTTTTTTGCCAAAAATTTGTTGTTTTTTTTTACTCCTCCAGAAATTGAACTTCCTCCCCGAATATGAATTTGAACAACAAGACCGCTTACATTTAAGAAAATAGCATATAAAACTGTTTTTGTGCTCTTGCAATTCTTTGCTCCTCTTAGGCCTTTGCGGTTTTGTCAAGTGCATCTTATTGTAAATTTGTTTTGAGGGTTTAAAGCAAAAAGGATTCAAGTTTCATTAACTGTGTGAAGTTCAGAAAAACGTGGATAAATACAATTTTTGATGTTCTTAAAATAATTGTTTAGATTTTCCTACACGCTGTCGTTTTCACTCTTTTTACAAAGTAAAGGGTGACCTTTGAGTATTACAGTTTTTTACCATCAAATGTTCCTTTAGAACATTGTGAACGTATCCCAAAGTGATTTTTATCAATTTTGCTACGAGTCTTAATGTCAATAAAACATTATCAGTGATAATTTGTTGAATTTTCGCAAATTTACATTGGTTGTTGTAAATCATTGTTGCAAGGACGATACCCATTTTTGATGCCATTATATAATTTTTGTTCATTGAAGTCTACTTGTTCATGTGTCTATAAAACAGACATTGGTTGCTGTAAATTTCACATATTTCAGTTAATATATGTTTGGGATATTAAGTTTTACAGTTGCTTTATTGACGCGTTCAATTTTACTCTTGTTTACTGATTCTTGACCATTCATTTTCAATGCAGTGTCTCGAATAGCCCTTGTTTTCCAGCTTCCCACAATGAAATAATGCGATGAAAAGTGGTCATATAAACTGTTAACAATTCATTAAAGATTCAACAATGAGAGAAAGTCAAGCTAAATGTCATATGACTTCGATGTTCTATGTCATCTAGCTAATGACATTATTTATCGAACGTCCCTCGTACAGTTATTCGGACATTAGTTTTAGAGGATAGTTACCAATTCATGTTGTGATGAAATTAATTTATAAAGCACAATTTACAACAACTCTTAAACTAATATAACTGTCCTAAGTGAAGAAATATTAATATAGAAAGCACAAAGAAATTCACTTTTATAAGGATACTCACTTCCGCTCCAGCCCGGGGTTGAACTCTCGACCTTTGGAATTTGTCTCCTAACTGTACAGGAACAGCGCGTTAGACCGCTCGGCTATCTAG